TATGTATTAGGCGATTCGTTTCATTTCGACCATTTGTAAGTTGGTGTCTCCATTTCCGCAGCTCCATTTCGTTTTCAAGAAAACCTCGTCCGGAACTTCGATTGTCACTTTTTGCGCCTCAAATACTTTCTGGCGCTCCATATTCAGCGTTCGCAAATTCAGACTGTTCTTCTCAGCATCTCCATCATACAACAACATTAGGGTCTTTAGTTTTGGTAGTCCTCGAATGATCGACATGATCGTTTCATCATTTGCGTTTGGAATAGATAGTGCTTGAAGGCTAACGAATTTCTTTGGAATTAGATTCGGATCCAATGAATTATTTCTCCTTAAAACTCTCAGCTCTTTCACATTGGGCAAATCGGGCAAAAAGGATAGATAATTTTCTTCGTTAATGCTCAAAAACTCAAGGCCACGAAGAATGGGCAATTCAATACTGAAACTATCATCGATCTCAAATATAAACATATGCAAGCGTTTGTAGAATTTTCGTTCATAAAGCTGGTTCAATAAAACAAAAAAATCTACTTTGATGGAATCGCTAATGAGAATCTCCAACAGATCCAGCTGCACATCGAAACTCATAATTTCATTTCGGTGCTCCCAAACGTCTTTTAAATCAGTTATAAATTTTTGAACGTTAGGATTATTTCGGAAAAATGTTTTCAAGTCATCTTTCGAAGGGATTGGTGCGAGATAAAGGCTTTTGAGTTTTGGATATTTGTGGCGCATCCATATATCTGCTTCGTGTGTTCTCTGATCATTATCAAGAAGACAAAGAGTCTTCAAATTCTCACACTGTTTCAACATATCATATAAGTTCACTTCGATTTTAGTGTTGTCAAACACTACCGATTTAAGTTTTGGAAAAATTGCGTTCAATCTGTTTATCACTTCTTCGTCCAATTTACTGTATTGGAACCAAAGACGGTCGATTGCCACGAACTCATTGGGACGCGAGGAAAAGTACTGGAGATGCTTTTCTCGAATGGACCCTAGGAATTTGATTGTATCAACAAATTGATTGAAAGTTGACGACGAATATGAATGAAATCTATCAATTCCAACCAACTTAGGCTCATCACCAAAGGCTATGTGTATTTGAGCATCTGAATAGTTTCGTTTGAAATATTCACCGGCCACTTTGTGCATCGCTTTGCATGTTTGGGCAAATGCATCCAGGTCTTCCAGTGACAAAAACTCGAATATTTCGTCCATGCAATCGATGTCCAACTTGAAGATCTTCGGCGGTGGTTGCTCATTCGATGGACCAGCAATGGGCAATTGATTTTCGTCTGTTTCAACATCAAGAGATAAATTTGACATTTCCGATACACAGGCTTGGACGTTCATTCCCAATTATATCGTTGTTCGATGTTTTTACTGTAAAAAATGCACAAAATTCAATCAATTCAACAAATAAATGTTTGGATAAAGCGTAAAACCTCAAAATATCTTACCAAAACTCGGCTCTCAATGAAATTTCAGCAACAAACCAAGAAAAATTGAAAGCGTCAAACCAACTATTTGACGAACGACTAACGACTGTGTTCAAAGTGCACGCTTTTGTATTTAATAAACAATGGACTTGGACTTGACAGATTGTTGTTGTTCTGAGGTGAAGTTGACGCTGTAACTGTTGTCTGAACGCAACCGGTTGTTTCGATGCAATCCAAATATTTACAATTTTGAAAATTCGTTTCATATAACTTAACCCTCTAATGCATTAATTTTTCCCAGTACTCCCAGTACTGGTACTTGGTTGATTTTTGGCCATAGATAATTAAAAAAATATTCATAATCCTGGATTCCTCATGGTTTAGTCAGAAAATGCGATTGACATAAATCAGAGAACAATCAAATCCATTGTTTAAAAGTGTCAAAAATGTGTCTAATTTCGAGTTCGAATAATTTATTTAGTCAAATTTTTGTTTTTGCACACATTTTTATTCATAACTTTACAATCACACTACATAGACAAATATTGCCAAAAACAAAAATAAAGAGAGAACATTGAAGAATAAAATTTTTTTTCGAAGCAATGTGATCCGATGTACGGTTTACGTTCTACAGGCGTTCAAATGTTGCCCGTCTAGAGACGGTTGTATGCATTATAATGAGGGTTAAAACATTTTCGCCAAATACATCTTTTCAATTCGTCAAAAAAAAACTTCATTCATTCTGTTTCCGCATGATACACACGCAAATTGTGTGTGCCGAATGGTGTTTGTAAACAAACCTTCGAACAGTTGATTCGTGCTCATTGGTTCATACTATTAATGAATATACAGATGAAGTGTTCTTTTCATTCTAAGCAAGGAAACGAGATTCTCCTCTTCCTTTCCAGTATGAAAAATAAACCATTTTATATGAATAATTAAATGAATTACCAAATATTATTCACTACTATTTACATTTTTTAGTATTACATACATGTTGCAATAAAATTCGCTACATTTTTTGCATTACTCCGGGTCTTTATATTTCTTGCAGGCTTGTGTTTTACAGTACACGGTCGTTCGCGAAGCGCGACACTATATAGGAATTTGTATGAAAACGAAACACACATGCGCCCCCTTTTGGACATTTCAACATTGAAACCCAAGTAACACATGCAAACCAATGGAAACACATATAATACATAGTAATTTGACACGTTTCGTTATTTGGGATGTGATATTGACGCACATTGCGAACATGAAAGAAAATAATTTTTTTTGAAATATTCTGTTTGTTTTCCAAAACGTTGTTTTTTTTAAACATTATTTTGAAGGCATGCAGTTAGAATCATATTTTAAAATATTTTGAATAATTGAACACTGCATTCATGGATGATTGCAAAAGAAGGCTGGCAAAATTGGCACTGTCACTTTCGGCAAAAAAAATATCATATATGCATGCACACCATTACATCTACATCCCTTTGTCCATGTTACGTCGTTGCGAATGTGTGCAAAAATATTGCATTGAGAACAATTAAAAAGAAAGCGATAGAAAAAGGAATGCGTAGATTGAACGGACCATAAATATATTGCCGGAATACCAAAAGACAGTCAATGACATCTCTAAACCAACTTATTGAATCATCGAATATTTCGAGTAACTTTTTTCAATCGTGTGTGGCTTGAGTTGAATATGATCAACTTTACGGCGACACTAGCAGCTTCTCTGCACACAAACATCGTAGAAGAGAGTACAAAAATCATAGTATTTTGGCAAATGCATTGGAGTAACCATTGCAAAACATCAATACGTTTTGGCTAACGCGTAGTACAGGCCCACAGAGAAGCTGTTAGCGTCGCCGTAAAGTTAATTATATTCTAGTAAAGCCATACACGTTTGAAAAAAGTTGCCGACAAATACAATGATTCAATGAGTTGGAATTGAGATGGCATTGACTGCTATGTGTCAAATGACTTACATTTGAAATGTATTGTGGCACTTTCCCTATGGAACGGACCAATCAAACAACTTGACGTGGTCAACACGTGGGGTACAATATGAGCGCACGTTGATGCTGCTTATATTTCTTTATACAGGCAACGACTGAGTGAGTGCGAGTGTGTGAGTATCAACACGGAATAATTTACTTGGTACGGTACATACACAAGGCAGTGCCAAAATATATGCTAGAGCATCGTACAACCACTGTCATTATGATAGATGATGGCAATGTGTTGGTGTGTTGTTTACAATGAAAAGTGACAGTGCCAAAAATTTATAGAACATTTGCCAGTGTTCTTTAAAATTTGATTCAGCTCATATTTTCTCTCTCTCTCTCTCTCTCTCTCTCTCTCTCTCTCTCTCTCTCTCT